GGGTTGTAATAAGCAGCCTCTAGACTTAAAAGTGGAATAAAGATGTTCAACTGTAATAATGGATGGTGTTCATCCTGGGGATTGAAGATGGCCCTCTCTATTATAGCTGAGTGTACTCACCAAATAAGTGAAAATCAAAGAGGTATTAAGAAATCCAGCAGATAGCTTAAAGATATGACTTTTGCATACATTCAATCCTGTTAGAATAAGTGTATGTAGCCTGAATTGAAAAGAATTGGATTCAAATTCCTGATTCTTTCATTAATTAGCTATGTGATTTTATGCAAGTTACTCACCAATACATTTTCTCATGTGTAAAATATGAAAAGTAATGCCTGTCTCATAGGAAGAATCACTGAGAAGATGACATGAAATTATACATATAACACTTAGTATATGACATTGTAGATTCTTCCTAAAGTGTTGATTTTTAAAATAAATAGGTAAGGGGACTTTTATTTTTTATAACTTAATTTTTTTAATTACAATTGGTTTTTATAAATTAGAAAGTGCAGGTAAGCAAAATTAAAAAAAAATAATAAATAGAATGCACTCATATCCTGGGCATGCAAAGATATTCAATATTAACATTTATATTTCCTTCTAGAATTTTTCCCATGATATGCACATATAATTCTTTGTGTATGAATATGTATATATAGTTATAAACATGGCATAAAATGTATTTTTGCTAACTGATTGTTTCACTTAATCATAGATTATGAACATTTACCCATGTTCTTAAATATTCCTCTATAAGAATCTCATAGTATTCTATTATAATATATTCAATTACCCTTTTAACATGAAACTTTTAGATAGTATCTAAGTTTTTTTTTCTCTTATAATTGACATGGTGATGCACAACTCTGTAACCAAATACTTTCACATTTATATGATTATTTCCCTATGATTAAATTCAGGAAGTAACATGATCGTTTTCAATAATAACAAAGAAAGTGAGCAAAGCATGAAAAGCACACAGCATAGTAATCAGCACATAATGAGTCACCAGTAAACGTTAAGGATAGAGGATCTGTGTATGTACTGTAAGAAAGGAGGGAAAAATATTTTATTTGAAATAGGCTTGCTAATTACCCCAAATATAATCTTTATGTAAGAATACTTAGGAGTTCTTGTTTGTTTTATAAACATCATGCAAACAGGCAAACCAGTTTAGTCAGTTTGTAGATGTCAGGTTTAGTACGTGTTTCTATAAAAAGGCCTGCTTCTCTGACTCATGGAAATGATCAAGAATAATCCATAATGGGATAATTAACATATCCTTTTTTGGGGGGGTTGGGGAGGTGGATATTCGCTTTTCCTTCTTTTTGTTGTGGATTCTACCTGCTGGTGGTGTGATGTGAACATGCCTTTCAGGCTGTTGCCTCTCACACTGGGTTTGAATGCCTCACCTAGGACCCTCTGGGCAGAGCTGTTCCTACAAGTACCCAAAATAGAAACATGCAGATGGCATGCTATCCATGACAGAACAATACGGACCTGAAGGATGTGTTGTCCTCCACAGGCTGAGGTGCTGTTATGAAGGACGGATGGAGAAAAGTGCCCACTTCCCACTTGGTCGCTCACTGTCCTCCATGTGCTGTCTGGACTGACTGTACTAAGGTACAGAGCACATAAGTGCCAGTGAGAAGAAGTGAAAGACTCAAGTGAGAAACGGCAGGAGTCGGCACAAACGTAGCTGAGTGCTATAGGCTGGGCGGGAACTGGGGTGAGCTGGACAGCATATGCTAACAAAGCGTGGCTGTGCTTACCTCCAGCTGATGGTAGTCATGGAAGAAGGTAGGCCCAGACTTGCCAGGAATTCCAGTTTTCATGAGATGCTGAAAACCTGGATTTTTTTTAATTCAAATCATGCAATTTCCAAATGTTATTGGGAAAATGGAGGAATACATTTTTAAAAAGAATTTGTGTGTATGTAAATATATACATAGATACACACAAATCCTATTTGTTCTGTTTCTCTGGAGAACTCTGACACTTGAGAGAGAGAGAGAGAGAGAGATGAAAGAAGAGAAGAGAGGACAGGAAACGTGGTGGGGACAAGGACAGAAGCTAGACTTCCTTGAATATATCTTGTTTTGTTTATTTGACTTTGGTGCTATATAAACAGTTTACAAATCCATAAAACAAAATTAGACTTTTAAAAAGCAGTCATGAAACATTTAAAGGGAGTAAAAAGAGACAATTGAACCTCACTGAACACCAGATTGATGGCATAACTGCACAGAATGGAACTACTTCAAGTGACTTTGAAACCCAGCAATTTGATCATACTTTCCTAGTAGGATATACTTTAAATATTTTCTTAAAAGACAAATTTTAAATAAATTTTCTTAATCACAGTATCAGTAGGGTAGTGGCATTTGTGTTCTGAAACCGTTCTATGTGTATTGTGGGTTAAATCAAATGAGTAATCATGATGGTATTATTGAGAATATGGATTTTGGTATGGAAGCAAGGTAGTAACACTGTAAGATCCGTGAGGTTAAATGAAAACCTTCAAGTCCTGAGTTTGCATTGAAGTTTCGTGTAAAACGCATGCTGTTTCCTATTTAAAAACACACAACTTCTTTTCTAGCTCTGTCCACAGAAACAAGGGCCAATGCAGTAGCAATTAGCACCCAAAGCTCCCAACTTGTCATCTCTAAATACTAATTCCCACCAAAATGAACCAAGGCTTTTGACTAGAAATGGCTGCTTCCAGGCCTCGGACAGGGCATGTGGAAGGTGACCCTGGAACATCGTGTCATACCAGAACTAGAGGGCCATTGAAGTCTACCAGGTCATATGAAAAAGACTTAGGGGTCAACTGGAAGAGATCCCCCTGAACAAGGGTAGGACAGTTAGAACATCAGTAGGGAGAAAAACTGTGCTGGAATGAAACAAATCAAAATGCTCATAGTGACATTTAAAAAATAACAATCTCGTTGGTCATCTTTGGAGACTATTAAGTAACCAATTCAGTATTTTGAAGACCAATAAACAAAGGAGGAAAAATCCAGCACCTCTCAAGTTTCAATAGAAACAGTAATTTAGGGTGAAGATATAGCTGATGACACATGTATGCAATTTCTCTTGATAGGAAATCCCAGCTAATAAATGAAGAAGAAATAACAAAATTATTTTAACACCAAATTTTAATCCCTAGTGAAATAATGGCTCCTCCAGGCAAAGATTACCAATGGCTGATGACATCACAGCCAAAGTCATGTGCCTCCTGATAGAGCAATACCATATGGTGGGCAGAAAGATACCCTCCACCTCAAAGACTTCAGTGTCCTAATCTCGGAACCCACAAATATGATACATTATGTGGCAAAGTGGAATGAAGGTTACAGATGAAATTATGGATGCTAATCAGGTGTTCTTAAAATGGGCAGATTACCCTGGCTTATCCGTGTGTGGATGAGGGGGGCAGAAGACTCTTCAGAGTGACTGGACATGAGAAAGACTCAACCAGCCATTGCTGACTTTGAAGGTGGAGGGGGCCACAAGCCCAGAAATGCGGGCAGCTTCGAGAGCTAGAAAAAGTCAAGAAAGGGAGCCTCCGTTAGAGCCTCTAGGAAGAGCCGCAGCCCTGCTGATGCCCGGATTTTAGTCCTGTGAGTCCAGGGTCAGACTTCTAATTATAGAACTGTAAGGTAATAAGTTTGCATTGTCTTAAGCCATTGAGTTTGTGGTTTTTCATGATGGTATCAATAGAAAATTAATGTATTCAATTTCCTAGGATATAATCTTTGTAAAAAACTAAGCCTGAATCTGATCAAGCCTCTACCAATTTACAGGAAATACAGGGCACAGAGGAACACCTTGTATGAAATTATGGCAATGTTCAGCAAAATCTAGACTTTGGGCAATGCTGTTGGGGAAATTGCATGTTTTATTTATCAAATCAAGTGTGTGTGTGTTTGCGTGTGGAGACAGGAGAGGGACAGGGAATGACGGACTGACTTAGGAGATGACCTAGTGTTCTGTGTATCAACCAATTGCAGTACGGTGCTTGATTCAAATAAAATAAAGAGCAAAAATAAATATTAATGAAATCAAACATTGGCACTGGGTTTTTATGTTATTAAGGAATGGTTTTGGGTGTGGTAATGGTATTGTGGTTATGTTAAATTAAAACAACAGTTCTCAACCTTTCACAGGGGTAGCCTAAGACCATCAGAAAACACATATTTTTTATGGTCTTAGGAACCGAGACACCGCTCCTCTATCCGTCTCCAGGCCCACATGCAGATACGCCCACATACGAGTACCCATCGACCCCCGTGAAAGGGTCGTTCGACCCCCAAAGGGGTCGCGACCCGCAGGTTGAGAATCGCTGAATTAAAACAAAGGCGTGGTGGTATGGTGGATGTAATATTGATAGATAATGATAGACATAAATTAATAATTGTTGAAGATGAATGGTAGGTACATAGATGTTTGCTTTTTATTCTTTCTACTTTTATATCTATTTTAATATTTCCATAATACAGTATTAGTTAAAATGTTAGTAACTCATTTGACTTTTTAAATGTGTTATGACCCAGACACGTTATGTACAAAGGCTAGATTTGACCAACAAATTGCCAGTTTGTGATTTCGGCATAGTTTCAAAAAGAGGGTCTTTCACTTTAACCTTTCACTTTAATCATCCTTTTCTTCCCGCTCACCCGCTGCCTCCATTCTTTCTGCACTGCCGAGCAAAAAGGGCCTCCTTCATCTGGGCTAGTGAATGACTGGCAGGCATTACAAATTGCTTGAAATAGAATTTTCTTAGAATAAGTGAGCAAAGAGGATGGTGTGCATAACTGCATTGAACAGTGCCTCCTAGTAGTTTATGTATTTGTTGGGAACCAGACTCCCTCATGCCACCCTCTCAAAAGAAAAAAAAAAAAGGCAACACCTTTGTTTCAATAGTTGAAAGCCTGAAGTGTTTTGAAATTTTGACTAATTGCATTTTCCTTGGTATCTCTGTGCCTCTATTTCAGGATGGAATGGGAAACTTGAGAATCACAGAAAAAGGTCTAAAGCTAGAAGGCGACTCAGAATTTTTGCAACCTCTCTACGCCAAAGAAATCCAGTCCCGACCGGTAAGTTTCCAATGAGAGAAGGAATTATTGTTCCTCAGGAATCTAAATCTGGGCAAATTTATGCTGCCAGGGTGGAGTAGGGGGTGATAACGCAGGTAATGAGATGCCTTCAACTCTGAAGACTTGAGTGTAATCACGGCTCAGTTAAAGATCTGAGGCTCGGAGAAGTAGTATGTCCACAGCCACATAGTTATGGAGTAGCAGGGCAAGGATTTCCACTCAGAAATGTAACTGATGGTTTTCTGTTAACTATAGCCTCCTGCCCTAGTTTTTTCTGTCATTAATTCTCTTTTGCCATGATCAAAGTGATTCCTATACACTTTGCTTTTATTAACCAATATTATCAAAATTAATTTTTGTTTATTAGCATTTTGGGGGGTTGGTTTTTGTTTCTTTAGTTTTATTTTTGGTGGTTTGTTTTTGTTTGTTTTTTTTTTAGTGGGGTGGTAGAATTTGCTGGTTGGAAGGAATTATTAATGCATTTGCTCTGCCTGGATTGATTAGTGTCCACCTGCAAGCAAAGGGTCACAGGAAAGGTCTCCAAAGCATCATTTGCATTGTGTGCATCGATTACCATAATTAATGAAACTCAGCAACTTGATGCAGTGGGTAATTTTATCTGAATGCTATCCAAACTACTGAGTTGTATTGAACTGAGTGCAACTGCTGAACTGCCAATAAATTTATTTCCTTGTGTGCTTAGTAAAAGGAAGGAAGTCATGATGTTAAAATCATCAAAAGGAACAAATCAATTCAGATACCCAATGAGTATAAAATTTAATCGGAACTCATAGCATACTGGATTGGACACTTAAAGCACCAAGAGTATGTAAACATACTCATTATCTTTGAGGAAGTTATACCTTAGAAGGAGGATTGGGGTGAGACTGTAACAAGGAGGGTCAGGTGGTGATTCTGCCTTGACTGAATGGAGATGGTCAGTTTTAAGCATTTATTACCTGTTATGTGCATTGCTCTTGGTTTACGTTTACTTCTCCCATCCTGGCAAGTTGGTTAGTTACATCACCTGCGTGAGTTCCTAGTTGTACTTTAAATTAATCATTTTATCTAGATTAAACTTGTTTAATTCATGAGTTTGGACTGTTTCCTTCTAATGGTATTGGCCAGATAGTAAATATTTAAGGCTTTTATTTTTTACAATTCTTTAAAAATGTAAAAAGCATTCTTACCTTGAGGACCATACAAAAATAGGCTGTGGGCTATAGTTTGCCAATCTCTCTAACTTAAAATAGTGATATTTCCATAAATATATGTAAATGTTCTGGCTAGATTTCATGTGGTACCAAAAAGCAGACTTTAAGATTATGGGTAGAATAGTTGATTTGTGTTATGTAAAATATCCTGAGAAAAGTTTCCTTGGTGTAGAATTAGAGTCAAATATAGTAATCAAATATAGAAATGTATTTTAGAAGACTTGAAAAGGGTACCTGGTATTTCTCTTAGGCAGAAGTTGAGCTTTTAGCAAATATATCAGCCAAGCTATCAGAAAATAAAAAGTCATCTGGTCCTAACTCAAAGATACACTTGGTTGGAAGATTAAAAAGTAATTATAATTTCAAAAAAATGTACTTTAAAATTGGAAAATCAGTGAGTTAAATTCAATGCTTTCAAATAACTATTTAAACAAAATAAAGTATTAGAATTCACTATTTTCCATTGTTCTTAAGAAAGTATTTTCCTTTCAAAAAATAGTAAATAAAGCTTTTTAGCCTATATGCTTCAGATAACAAAAAAAATCTTCTAAGTGGAGAAAATATTATAGTTGCATACACATACGCATATATAGTAAAACCCATCACTAAGCCATGTGAGCTCTACCTGGAACACGTGCCCAGATCCATCCACTGATCTTCATTATAAGCCATCCACTAGTTCAAGCCACCATCCTCTCTTACCTGCACCATTGCAAGAGCCTCCTCTCACTCTGCTGTCTTTCACTCGTAGCCTCATAATCCAACTTGCAGCCGAAATAGTCTTCTCAAAATGTCAAGTCACTCCACCCCTTTGCAAGGGATTCTCCACTGGCTTCCCACTGCACCTGGAATGAAATTGGAACTCCTCATTAGAGCCTGTAAAATCCTCTACCAGATATTTTTTATGGAGGGCCCCTTCTGGGCTTCCTGGTCTCAGTTCAGATATCACCATTGTAGAAGGACCTTCCTCCATCAGTCAATCCTTTTATTATTTTTTTTTTTTTTAAACTGAGCCATCCTGCTACCTGTTGGCAGCTTAGCAGCTGCTCAGCTTGGGCTGGACTCAAACCGCTGTTGCTCAGAATTCAAACTCTTGAGCGAGCTCTTAACCAACTGAGCCACTCAGCCGGCCCAGTCAATCCTTTTATACAACATCCATGTATAGACATCTACCTGTTTCTTCCCCTTTGTAACTGTCATTATTTGCAATTCTTATTTGCTTCAGAATATAAATTTGGAAGAGCAGGAGATTGTCTGAGTTTTCCTTACTATATTCCCCAGCTCTATTGCTGTATCTAGCTCATAGTATGTACTCAGTAGATATTTTTGAAATTCAGTAATGAATCATTAACAATGAAAACATCCCTTAAATCTATCCTGCAGGATCAAGCACTGTTAACAGTTTAGTGTATTTCTTCAGGCATTTACCATGATATTATTTATTTTTAACAAAACCATACTTTGCATTCTATTCTGTACCTTTTTTTCCTCCAAATAATATATTAACAGGAAATTTTTATATCTACACATTTAAAAGTTTAAAAGCTTTTTGGAGGTATGATTGATGTCGAATAGACTGCACGTATTTAAAGTGTGCAATTTCATAAGTATTCACATACGTGTATACATGTGGACCCATCCCCACAGTTGATACAATGAACGTATTAGTCACCCCTGAGAGTTTCTCCATCCCCCTTTTTCATCCCTTCATCCTACTGCCCCTACCCCTGTTCCCAAGCAACCACTGATCTGCTTTCTGTCCTGTACATTACTTTGCATTTCTTAGAACTTTATATAAAAAGCATCAAACAGTTTGCCTATCTACATAACTGTAAGAATAAACTGTGTTTTATCAAGATTTCTTTTTAACCATCTATTTGATATCCAACTTAAAGAAGAAAAAGGATTTTTTTTGCCAGCAATTGAGCTGTGTCTTGGTTTGGCTGGGGAGAAATATTAGAAGTGGTTCAGGGCATCAACCTTTGCTATTTCCCTTTTGGATGACATGAAAGTGCAGAGAAGGGACTAGAGAATAACTTATTAGGCATGGCAACAAAGGTAGAATTCGTCTTTCTTTGAATTGTCACAAAAAGTGAAAACATACATTGGATCAAAAAGGCGAAAGAATAAGATGTCGGTGACTTAGTATTTGTGGCTCCCCTTCCCTCCAGCATAAGGACAATTGCCAGCCAAATGGAATTGGGGTTCTGGTAGCAAAGAACGTCATAGGAATGACTTCTGGGCCGGCAGTCAATAGGATTTGCCACACTTAACTAAATTATCTGCTCACCTGATGCTCACCTGAACCTCACATGTAGCAGCTTTCCATTCCCACCTGGCACCTACATTGGTTTCTTCCTCACACAGCTGACCAGCGCTTACAGACCACCCCTGGAAGCTCGGAAAATTCTCTGAGCTATCATTTCTCCATGTCATGGCTGCTTCAGTTTCATGGGGTGTCTCCTGGTTCGTGCATTATAAAGAGATCAGTGTCCAGTTGAACAAGATGACTCAGTCCCTCTAAGTGAGATAACTAATGAAGCAACACGAGTTCATTTTGGTTTTGTGTTTCATTGATCTGAGAGGAACTGAGATTTGTTAAGCAATCCACACAGTGCTCAATACTGTATCTGGTTTCATTATTGAGGGTTGTGACCCTGGTAAAGTCACTACAAGTTGATTAGTGTGATAGCAATCACTTTAGAAGATAAACTGATGAGAAAATGTTCATCTCTGTAGATCTTCCATCTGGGAACTGAATGAAAGCCCTGGGACATTCCACCTTTAGCCACATAGATGTATAGCTTCTAAGTAGTAAATCATCATACCACGCAGAAAATATATTGAAAAGGACACACACTAAATTAACTCTTCTGTCATCACATCCAAAGACCAGCCTGTCCCTAGAAATACTACTTGAATGCATTAGCACAGAAATTTGTAAAGTTAAGGGATACCATGCCAAAAAAACCTCTATGTTTAAATTCCTATTTCAATATGATAGGCAACTTTTTAATTGCTAAGTAGAACTACAAATTTTTGGCAGGAGTGACTAGCATATAAATTGAATGAATACTAAGGAGACCTTTATTTACACAGTATCATTTTGGATAAAAGTGACAGACCCCTACTTCTTTGGAGAGACGTCTTACCCATGATGCTGGGACTAGATGGTGCTTGTGCATAACTTAATGTGAAGTGATAAGAGAGGGAAACTAGCATTTATTGACCATCTACTATGTGTCAGGCCTACCACAGCGGGAAAGTTGTGCGGTGAATTTTTCCCCATCCTCACTTCGAACTACACTTGGGATGAGTATAGGGGTCCTAGCCCATTGCTATATTGAATTTAGAAGTTCAGGAGAACAGAGGCTAGCAAAAGAAGTTAGAGGAGGGATTAAAAAAGTTAATTTACTTTAAGAGAATCAAGTAGAAACCTATTTTATAACATTTAATTACATATGTAATTAATTATATGTAATTAAATGTTATATGTCTTTCAAATATTTTTATCCTCTAAAAACTCATGTATTTTAAGATGTCCTACCTACTAAAACCTGTGTAAAATTATGAAGTCATATCTAAATGGGGTTCTTAGAAGTTACCTATGCTAAGAGACAGTATAACACGATGGGGAAGCCCATGTGCTTTGTTGTTGGACTTGGATGGCAACCAGGGCTACTATTTGACAGATGAGTGATCTTTGAGCAATTTCTTAATTTGGCAAATCCTTGCTTTCTTACCTGGGCAGTTGTGATGATATTCATACCTACTTCATGGATAGCT